TCATATCAATAATCTGAAGCACATAATATGTAAGCTGCAGTCATACAAGATAACGAAAGATCTTGTTTTGCACTTGCGACACCGCTTGGAAAAAACCTTCTTATAAAACGTACAATTTGATATAACTGGGAAAAGTGCTAAAGAAACGAAGCGTAAAAAGTATTTCTGTCCTCCCTAAAATTTACTGCCTTCTTCTTTGTTGGGGTTTCATGAATAATGAAAATATGTTTAAAATATCTCAATCTGAAACTGTGACAGATAGATGCTCTTTTGCGTTGTTTTGTACATCTTTGAAAATATTATTTTATTTAATATTTCATACTTTTGAATAGCGAAATAGATGAATGTATCGTGAACCACAAAACGTCTTTTTAACCGTTGACATTATTCAATCTTCAGTGTAATGACAAGGCAACCTATGCATGTATTGCAGTTGCCTTTACTCTATACACGGAGTGAACATATTTTTATTTTTTCGAACAAAACCTAAGAACTTACTTTCGTCTCAAAACGATAAGAATTTATAGAAGTAGAAATACCTGTTTTTAAGCATGTTAAATGAAATTAATAATGCATATTTACTAATACTATGCAGTTCATTACTCATATAACCTTTTTATCTAAAATCAAGAAATCAAGAGAGGAAAACTTTCGACACTAGCATACTGTGCGAAAGGTTTATTCAACTTTGTTCTTTTGAATTAAAAATTTGGCAACAGCTAGTTCATAAAGGTGGAATATTATATCTAATTCAGTATCCGAAATCAAATGTCCATAGATCAAACAAACTCCATTATGGACTTATCATCCTTTAGATCAGCTGAAACTTTGAATAAGCAGAAGGCATATTTTTTATTTACTGGTTGTTTCTTGCTAACTAACTGATTTCAAAACTAGTTTAACCAAATATATTTTCAACCAATATTGTCCTCTGGTTTTATAACCAAAGAGTATGGATATCTGATAAACTTACTCGGAAATAAAAGAAAACCCGCCATCAACACTATAATAGTGTATAAGGTCACCAACATAAAAGGCTCATCGAAACGAGCTTAAGATTTTACAAAAGGATGAGAAGTTGACTTGTTCAATTCAAAGTCGATGGTACTATTTAAACTATGTTACCTAACCAAACAAACGCCTACGTCCATGTGTGAAACATTGAGCTGCCAAGTGGTATAGGGGTGCAATCTGCATCGAAGGTGTGAAGTGCCCACCTACGTCACCCCTGATTTTCGGGGGGGGGGGGGGGGGCGAAGCTCTTATCTCTAACAGGCTTTGTTATCACAGCCTAGCACGCCATTACAGCACGAGACGTGTGTTGGAATATTTTAATCCCGTGCGATGAACTTCATTCCCCCAAAAGGGGCCTTTTGTTTGGACGGATTAGGCCCTCATTAGCCCCAGCGTGCTCGAAATTCGAGAATAGAGCTGTCATTCTGGCGTTGCGTGTGGCTGACCTTGGTGTAGTTTTCTGGGAAATGGTATTTGAGGATGAAGATTTTAAGTCATTATCGAAAATTGGGGCATACTTAGTGGTGAAAAGGGATTTAGCTAATTTGGATAAGCTCTGAGACAGAAATTTAAAATAAAAGCTATATTGAAATGGAGTTAGATTTGTTGTAATATCTGATCAAGAACAGATATCGTCTATATTTAGCTTATAGTTGTTAACATTGCGATTATTTATTTATCAATGACCAATATCAGTTCTTGGTGTGCTGTGTGAAGATTTTGACAGAAGTGCTGTTGTTTGGTTTGCAGTGGAATATTTTATGTTTTATTTTTTCAGGAAAAGACTGAAATATTATCATTAGTTCAATATTTGATGTAAGACAAAGCCTATTGTAAATAACTTAATGGCCGAAACAAATCTTGAATCTTGAATTAGTTAAGACGTTTTAATCGCTGTAGCTGAATAATAGTGTATTTCATCTTCTAAAATCCAATTATAAGCTTTTCTTTGGAATATTTTATATCATTTGTTATATGTATTTGTTTTTTATATTACTTTATTTCAGTGTATATTGTTATTTAGTGATATTGAATGTGAAAAAACCATAGTGTCAGTTAGACATAAGCACACATTTTAACTACTATATTTACTAATAAATATGCCTATATGAATTCTTGGCATACTTAATAAAAATCTAAATTTTTTCTGACATCGTACTTTTTATTACTAGTTTTGATCGAGTTGTTAATTCATGTTCTCATTGACTTGCTTTTATAATAAGAATCTTCTTCAGTATTAACATTGACTATAAGGTATTAATATGGATTTCCAATGTATAAATGTATACAAGTAACCATAACAAGTTTTGATTTAGTTTTTGAGTTAGTTGTAGTTAACTAAGATACATAGGGTAAAATTTAAATTTCTTAATTATCAAATTAGTATATTCTAAAAATATTCGACTCGTTTTTTTAATCAACTGTAGTCAAATCGCCAACGTTTCTGTTTTTGTTCTTTTAATCAAACAGAAATTGGAATCAACAAATAATTGGGACGTGAAAAACGACGAATAAGCGAACAATAAACTTTGACAACGGATGATTAAAATCACCCGTCCGCGCGTCAAGTATTAAAGTTAATTTGTCCTTGTTTGTCAGCAGACGTTATTAAAAATAGCAATAACGAAACTTTCTAATAGGTAAAAACATATTGTGTGTAGTAATATTATTTATGCTTACACGTGGAAAATGGCTGTAAAACTAAATGTTGACACATAATCTAATACAGTTGCTGGAATCGATGTATTAATTTGAGAACATTTGAGGGATATTTGCAAAACTATAGTTTATAATTATTCATATATCACACATATAATACTACAGTTAATTCTATAGCGATATGAGCAAGTACACAGCTGTAGTCTACTCAGTTTATTTGTAGTTTCTTTTAAACCATTCCAACCATCTAATTATTGCAAAACATGTAGAATGTAATATTACTGGATGATTTTTCTAGATTACAAGTTATTTTACAGAAGACTGACGAATTAATTCCATTCTATGTCAAACACCCAGTGTGTTTGGAGTTAAAATTTTATACCACGAATACCAGAAACATTTAAATCATATTTTAATAATTATTACTAATTACTAATTAATGATTACTAATTTATTTCTTCAAAGAACGCCTCACAGGTCGATTTTCTTCTTTCTATTCCATAAATAGTTTATGTACACTCAAATTTTACACACTTTCAGAAAACGTGTTAAGCAAATAATTAAAATATGCCACTCGTTGTCCACGAACTAAAGACATATTCTGAACCAGTGGGTCAGACAGCTGCGTTTATGGCTAAGTAGATGTTTATAGCCTTCGTCACACTCCACTGTTATCGTTATGGTTTCAGACTAATATTGTTTAGTCTATACACTAACAAGCGTAGAAGAAATGAGCTGTTTCTCGAACATAACTACAACTTGTATACAGCTGTGTACGGCAGCTGTGGAATTGTTTCGTGTATATTTTCCAATGTAATCAACTGTTTGGCAAAGCCGTCACATGTAAAGTCTGTTAAAATGTAATTCAATTGATTGAATTCGTACTATGTGAACTGTATGCAAAAAATTTTATAAATTTTTATACATTTAATATGCTTGATATAGCCATATATTAGTTTTAAAATAAACCATGCATTGTTGATGACTACCTAAATTGTTGTCATAAATTGAGGAATTACTCAATGAAACATGAAACTCGGAGACAGTCTCTTAGATTTTTACAGTTTATTTGTTACACAATCTTAATTATTAATAATATATGTATTTCTTACATACATAACCAGTTTGCAAAATTAATCTGTAAATTTACATCTAAATGATTTCCCCACTTATTTACATGGTTTATTATTCTTGGCATGTGAATTAATTGGTTGTGATTAATTTGCATTCGTAATATCTGCTGTTGAGCTACCGATGCATTTTGTATGTACCGTTTTAATTTATATAATTATTTTTTGTTATTCTGATATACTGTAAGATTGCAGTATGGTTATAATTGTTACATATCACCCAATCACCCAATCATTCTGCTTGCTCAATAGGCAGCTGGCGAATAATTAATTCTGCATGTACGGACAGTTTATTTACGTTTTACAAAACACATTTTGTTTTCTTTCCGTATTTCAAGTCAAGTTGACTACAAGTATATACAGTAGTACTAGTAGTGTATGAGCACAGACAATGGAATAAACCTTAAAGTATTATATTGTCTGTGGTATGAGCTTTGACTGTCAGGGGCATGAGTAAGAACTATAGTTTATCAGTAGTCAACATAGAATTTTGCATTGACTAGACGTACAACTTACAAGTAAAAAAAACACACATTTTCCTTAAATGTACTTGTATTATTTTAAGAGCGTCTGAAATATGAACCTAAATGTAGTCAGGTTCCTAGCATTTTCACAGAATAAAGTCAGAGACTGTGGCATTATCTAAAACATGACGTCTCCATGTACTCAGACGCTGATAAAGTAGCTACAACACGACCGAGCTTACAAGTCCCTTCAAAGATAACGAGCAAATATATATAACCAAAGCTAACAACCAGCATCTAGAAAACAAACAAAATAAAGCGAAACCGTGCTATAAATCCGAACCGGGCCTGTAAAATACTCATTACGTATGATAAACGGACGAAAAATCAAAGAGTTTTACGACTGGGAAAATGTCACCGGACTTGGGCCGTAGGTGTCGTATCTCCATCTTGTTTAAAAAATCTCCATCGGAATTGACACCGAAATATAAACAAGTTGGCCGTGTTATGTAAATAAGACACGGACCTTGTAAACCCGGGAGATATATTAAGTAGCAGGAGTGGGGAGGGTGTACACAGACACATGTGTCTACGGGGTGGTGGGGGTGCGAGAGAGAGGGGAGTATGACAGTTCGTCGAGTCGCCGAGAGAGCGCAGATAAGTCGACCAGTCGTGTTCGTGACGTCGAGCAGAGAAGTTGTGCCCGCGTTACTTCTGTGGATTTTCGAGTGTGTTGTGTTTTGTGCGGAGTTTCTCGTAAATTTGGATACTCTCTGTGGATTGGTGAGTTAACATCATGATCAATAGTGGATTTAAGTTGAATATCTGGGTTTGGTGTGGAGTTTTTAACGTTTATCTATTATTTTTGTATCAAAATAAGACTTGGCAAACTAGAATAACAAATTATTTCTCGTGTTGAACAGCTTGACGAATACTTGGCTGATTATTTTTTAGGATATGTTCAACCGATGTTTACATAATATGTGTGGACAATATTAAGTATAACTGAGTAACATGGTATTTACCAAACTTTATAAATAGTTCAGAGTGAATAGGATGAGATTCAACTTTATTATTGTTATAATCATCTCACGATACAGTATTTTTACGTAGATTACCAAATTTGTGGAAATAACTTGATATTTGTATCCTATTAATTAAATTTGTCTATATCACTGTTAACGTCTTCAACCTTTCTATTGTGTGTGTAATATAATTAAGTTACGTATTGACGGGCGTAATACAACATATCGAGATGTGTTTGTTAATTTTTTATTTCCAGCTTAATCTGAATTTATAAATCATATACATTTTTATTTAGCCACTTAGTTACAGTGTCGTATAGAACACGTATTTAGGATATTTTGCAGTTGGTTATGGCAGGCCAAAATCGTCAATAATAAGTTAACGCAATTCCGAACTATACATTTCTCATTACCGGTAATTGACCAACACTCACGAAGGGTGCTCACGAATTACCGGTACTCCATGTAAACGTAGGAGGAACACACACATGGACTGTACCTGTGAACAGCTGATGACAACTTTCTCCCGCTGAATCTAATCAGCTGATAAGTTCAGAGTAATTAGCTCCAGAAAACAGCTGATGATAAAATATTTGTTAGGACAGACAGTCACAGCTATAAGCGATGAATAGCCCATTCAGGCGGCCGTAAATATATCACTATTGTGTGTTAGGACAGTGCCATAAATCTAGCATTGTGGAGGCGTCAAGCACATAGAGAGAGAGAGCGCTGCGTTTCTATACCCACACCTGACAATTCTCCTCGGTCGTGTCGCAGAATTTGTTTTGAAAAACTATGGTAAAACACTTATTTGATCAGACATGTGTAATTTTTGTTGATTCAGTAATAATATATACTTTTTATATTCAATTAAGTTGCGTAAACAAATATATACCGTACCTCGTCGTAAAATAGTTCTTAAACTATTTTCAATGAAATATATCATTCCATATTTTATGGGATACGTCGCTTCACAGTGTGCAGTTAATCAATGAAGTCAGTGTTTATTTAGTTCGTTTGTTGGTGCAAGTTCAAATTCATAGGCATACTCTCAGTAGTTATTTCTACAATAATTTTCTAACAATAATCAAATTCAAACGACGAAGGTTCAACGTTTAAGCTTGCGTTTGTTGAATATTTTACCTACTATACATGCAAAATTCCATGTCGTTTATTTGATGTTGGATTCCGTAACAGGAGGTGTTGATTGAGTGATATGCCCATTGTCTTTGAGAAAGACAAGTGCGATTCTCCGTTGCCCAGGCCTCGCGACTTCAATGTACTCTACTCAGCAGGTTGCGCGACTTGCGTTTCTTCCATCAAAATAATTACGTAGTAAACAAGGTGATTAGCCCATGATTCGGCACCGCCACTTCTAAGGCGCCGCCGCACGCCGATGGTAATTTGTTTCGTGGGCGCTAGGAGCTCTTGTGCGTTTGTGACGATGGCTCTTGTTGCGAAAGAACTTCTCTATATCCGCAGCTTAGAACAATCCTAGAATAAAATAATTAATCTGGGAAAGGGACGCAAATGACTGTCAGTTGGGAATTGAAAAAGTGATCTAGTTGATTCGATTGAAAGAATTGTTAGTCATTTCGCTTCAGTCTAGAGAACAAATCTGTAAAATTTTACGAGTTGTCTAGTTTACTTTATCTCTTTTGACATCTAGTTAGTCAATAATCACTCAAGGCTATTCATTCGTAAGCATGCTAGTTATACATAAATTGGAGAGGACTAATTTGAAGATCGTGAATCACTCTGGATCTTAATTCGCTGACCTAACTAATTCACCATCTCCATCCTACGTATGCCTATTTGTGGAGATCTGTTGGTGGCAACTTTGGTCACTGTGTGCAACACCTGCCAAGGCGTTACAGCATAGATTAAAGTACAGGTATTTTAGAGACATAGCAGTCAGTAAATGAAAATGAGCTGAATAAAATACTTCACTCCGATCGCTAATCCAGTGTCCGGCTCTCAATCCGGTCTTATCTTAAATCGGCATTAGGGCGAGAGAGCAATTAGCTAGACTCACTGTTGAGTGTCCGACACTTAACGGATTAACGGATGACTCAAGACAGGTAGAAACAAATGTCAAAATATAAATGAGGATTATCATAGTGCGAACGTCAGCGTAGAACTGTCATGAGTCATTATCAGGAGGGCTCTGAACGTAACAAGGCGGTCTGGCGAGTAGAGAGAGAGAGAGAGAGACGTGATAACTACGTGCGAGGAAGAGAGAGGGATAGACGAAGATGGGGATAACAAGACTGGAAATTCAGACGACGTGCAGAAACGAGGTGTAATAGCAGTAAGAGAAATGCAGGTCTATAGTGGGAACATGATTAGTTTGTGGTACGGAGTGAGAAGTTTACTCTACAGTTAAAACTTCCTTACTTTATTGAACCGACGATAAAGTAGTTTATCCAATGTCTTAATGATTAAAATCGTTGGCCGTAGCCTCTTAATGTAAACTAAATTACTTTGTGTGTCGGCGAAACTTTAGTTGAAACGTTTTAATTTTAGTGTGGCTTAAGGTTTGATTCATTAATCTTGTGAGACAATTTACCAAAGTTGCAAGCCTACAATGGTACGTAGCCGGTTTATTGCGTGTGTGACTTATGAGTTGTGTTACAGAATCTGGATTAGCCCATATTTTTCAAAAAAAAAATCGTTTTGACGGCGTTTAACGTCAAACTGTGTGGTTTCGAGAGCTTAATGAACTAAAAAGAATTCAAGGATTTAAAAAATTTCAAAATTCTTTTTGCTCACATTTTCTAAATTGTGTATAGTCTGCTTACAATGACTTTCTACGACCACGATAGTGTCACATGTGGTTGTAGGTCAGAGGGTCCCAGGGCAACCCAGACAAGGGTCGGTCGTAAAATATTTGAGCGAGTGTGGTCACAGGGTCCCAGGGTTACCCCTCATTAGCGCTGGGACTCTCTGGCAACTCCAGAAAAGAGAGGATTAACGCGCAGGTCACTGAAATACCCCACACGTGGGGGTACTGTTGGAAATAAGTTATTTAGCGTTTCAGTTGCATTACAACCTTAACTATATGCACAATTTACTATGGAGGAATTATTTTTCAAGCAATGTAGCCTATCTTTGGTTTATGTATTTTTGTAGTTTATATCAGCCTTGTTGAAATATCAAAATTAATAACTTCATTGAGATTTAAATCTATCTTCCAATGAAAATCTATTAAACTACTGTAAAAATTCAAAATAGAAAAATAAACAATCAACTATAAATAAAATACCAATGTTAACGCCTCTTTCACACGAACAACAACTGACACACTGTACTATATCTACACAATATTATCATACAAAGATCTCAAGGGGTCTGCTGTGAGTATGCTTATCAAGTACGTAAAAACCAGCAAAAATGTAGTTACCATACCTCGGATCTGATTAGGAGTGTTTATGCTTCGATATCGACCGAGGGCTTTGCTTGCTGATTGTTAATGAAATATTTATTTAGTTTTTATCTATCTATCTATCTAAAATACTAATGTTCGGGTAAACACTATTATGTATGAAACGTTTAGGTCATATACAATAATAAAGTCGTGAAAAATAATAGCCTAATTTACTAAAAAATATATAATGATTACATAAGTTTAGATAGACTAATAGTACCACTTACACATAAAAAGACGTCAAACGGTAAAACTAAAAATATACAACTGTTTACAGGAATTGACATGATAACAGAGCAAAACTACTGATACAGGCTACTGTTTATAAACAAATAATGAAAATTTGAAGGAAATTCTATTTATTTTTAACGGAATAAGGATATGAATAATAATTATCAGTGTCAACCCGTTTTGATGACCCTTGCAAAACTATTTTAAAACAATTTAAGTATATGTGAAGTATGTAGGGCCTACATGTGACGTTCTAAACTGCTGCACGTCTTAAAAAACTTGAATGTTTAGAAATTTATATTACACGAGAGTTTATACTTTTTTAACCCACCATGTTAAACTTCCCTATCCCAAGCGTGATGCATACAACTTCATTACTTCACGAGTGGTGCAAAGTTGAAAAAACTCACTCGGTGAGGTAATGAAACCTATTTAAACAACATCGACTTAACTTAAAAAATATACCTTTATGGAGCCAACGACGTTCAACGCTATAAATCAGCTGTGCGCTTGAATTTTATTGTTATGCTTTGAAGAATTTTCCTAACCTAGCTTTTGTTTGTAATGAACGTTACTGTAAGATGAGTGAAATGGATAATGAAAAATATTGTTTGTAACCTTCTGTATTTTGTCGGGTCAGGTAAAATCTTGTACGTTACACGTTACGCAAGAGCTTGTTTACATCACTTAGGAGAATTATGCAACTCGCTTCCGCTCGTTGCACAACATGTACCTGCGTGATGTAAAAACGCTCTTACTACACTTGTAATGTAAATAGCTATTACAGTTATTTGGTAAAACTGTTAAATATATAATATATTACAAAGCTCACCAGCTAAGTTAAATTAATATTACTACGAACACATAAAAGACATCAAACAGTAAAATTAGAGGTATACATCCTTGGGGAATTTATATTAATTTATATTTATATTCTGCCCTCGGCACGGGCAAAATAATAGCGTAAACAAAGTTAGATTTAAAGAGTGTTTAATTTTGCTGCTACGAAGGTAAAATGTGTTTTTAACGAACGTTTATTGTCTAGCAATAAAGTAAATCAATTAATCAAATATTATCAACATAGAGAAACAAGTAAACTA